TATATTCTTTTATTTGATAAGGTTTCCAGTTAGGCAGTCATTATGGTAAAAATCGAAAGTTCAAACAGCTTGAAATGCCTTTGTTAGATCTGGTCAGATGAACAGAAGCTTGTGTTCGGTTTTGGATTTGGTAATGGATTTTATTTTATTAAAAAAATTGATTTCTTCGGTCTGCACACGTCTCCCAAATGTCTGGTTACAGTGTATCTGGTTAGTGATCGTGGCTTATTTTCAGAACAATAACGTTCCGATAGGGACAATATTATTTTAAATATTTGGTCTTCGCTATCCATTGCCAAAAAACGGAAAGTTACGCCTCATCAGCTGTTCCATTGCTGACGTGAAGGATTTTGGCATGTATGTACATAACGTAACACATAACACATAACATGATAATGGTTTAAAGAGTGGCAGCTTCTTGTCGCTGTACTGGATTCTTGCTGACTGTCGACCACGTACTGATTTGAGTGATTCGACAACCGTCACCAAAATGAGTCCGACTCAGTTATTTTATTGATTGGAAAGCAATGATATTGAATCCGTTTTGGTGTGTTTCGATCAACTGAGTTCTTTCGTTATTATCGAAAAATAAGTACTAATGGTGAGTACCGATGATAGCCAAAAGAATAAAGTACTGACATGAAAGAATGTTCGAAATATTTTGCATCTATAAGATAAATAATTATATATATATATTCTTCGTTTGATCTGCAGCGCTTTTAACAATTCAGGCATTCAACGGCATAGCTACAGATTTAGAAATATTTATCGTGTTCGGTAATTAACAGTCAACAAAATTCAAGGCGTTTGGGATTTTGTGGAACATAGTTTTATTTCGTTTATTGCTTACTCGTGCACGCTATCGTCACACAAATCGGCGTTTTCTTTTTCAGATACACTCATGCGAAATTGTTTGAAGTACTCATTAATGATAAATTAACTATAAGGAAACGATGGAAATTAGCAAAAATCAGTTTGCTCATTATCTATAATTCGGATGATATTGATATTGATACTTGTTTTGCTACCGGAACGGTGGACACGATTTGCGGAACAGAGAATACTTTTGAAGTCATGAGTTCCATATCGTGACGGATTATTTGCCTTTCCATTAC